ACTGAAGCTCACACATACGTCTGATATTGCTAAGTGAAGGAAAATGGACCTGCAGCAACCATGTGTTACAAGAATGTGGAATATAACTGTAGTCACTGACAAAATATCTCTTAGTACCAGGGTTGGGTATCTTTTGAATTTTATAAATTCCGATTCCGATTATCGATTCTTTTCGATTCCCAGTTTCGATTCCAATGTGATTAAATAATGATATCAAACATTTATCCTGTGTCTCTTATTTGCAAACCATTTATTGGAGCTGAATACCATGAACAAAAATCAACAGGCTACATAAAAGCTGGACTCTTTAAGAGCTGTTTGTGTGCAAAATAGAACTGCATGATTCTGAATACGTTTTTTTTCTCTTTTTTTTTCCCCAATGGAAGTTGTGGTTCTCTCATGATTCTGAAGAAAAAACATTAGACAACTAAACAAAATCACATGTAATTTATGAATAAATGATTCAATGACTCACTCAAGATGTACTTGTTTCATTACTGGATGAATCAGCGTTCTTGAATGAATCTCTTGTATGATTCAAAGACAAATACATTTTAAAGGGGTCATATGATGTTGCTATTTGGTGTCGATTTTGTGTATTTGGTGAAATGAAATGTGTTTATGCGGTTTAAAGTAAAAAAAACACATTATTTTCCACATACTGTACATTATTGTTTCTCCTCTATGCCCCGCCTTTCTGAAACGCGTCGATTTTTACAAAGCTCATCGGTCTGAAAAGCAAGGTGTGCTCTGATTGGCCAGCTATCCAGTGCGTTGTGATTGGCCGAATAACTCAAGCGTGTGACGGATATGTTACGCCCCTTACCATACTGTGATGCCTTGTCCCGGCCGGAGCGATGAGACAAAAATATGAAAACCCATTACAGACGAGGCATTTGTTGCATCCAGTGGGGACATAATTACGGATTATAATGACTTATACTGTCTTTTTACGTGTTGCGTTACATAAAACCATGTCTGCATTTGTGATCGGAGAAATGACAAACAAGCGCTACTCTACACTGCTCAAAACTTTATAGCTGTTTACAGCTGCTCTCTTTAGGACAATGGCAGCGTGAATGCAAATTTAAATGTTCAAATCACACTGGTGTGACCGTACTCTGCACGGACGAACCAAGTGATCACAACATTGATCGCACACGTAAACAGACGAATCATTGTAATTTAGGAATAGAATCACGTTGGTGTTTGAATTGTGTTCGCGATCTTTAATGATCTATTAAATTAAAGTGCTGGTGGTGACACCTCTCTTGCAACATGTTTAAGCTATCACAGATATTATACTTAGCTTTTTTGGCTTCTGATCGCAAATGTAACCAAACTTTGGAGAGCTTAGATTAGCGAGCAAGGTTCTGGCAGATCGCTAGGTCCGGTCCTCACAGATGAAGAAAAAAAAAACGCATAGGAATCGATAGGCGGAATCGAAATTTTAATTTGACAACAAGTATCCGATTCCTGACCTTCAGTATCCGATTCTGGAATCGGAATCGATTTTCGATTCCCAACCCTACTTAGTACTACTGTAACTTTGACTTTTTGACAGCTAAAAAAATACACAACAAATACAAGCAAAATCTCTGTTTGAACAGTAGGTGCACTTTCAGAAGTGCAATTTTTCTCTATACTTCAGACCTAGATTTACAAACCCCAGATACCCAGTGACCCCAGAACCACCCCATCCATTAGCATCTGTAAAAAAGGATTTTTCAAACCTGTAAATAAAGTTTACTGGAGTATGTGTTACAAGAAAAAAACTATTTCAGTCTGTCTACTTCAAAATTTTGTTTAATTCAACGTGTTACTTGCTTCTTCTTGGTTACTATTTGTGAAATTTACTACGCAATTCCTAGATAAAAAAAATATGCACTTTAACAAATTATAACAAACTGTTTCGCCACCAAATCCCTTTAACAAATGTGGTTGCGAAACAATTTGTTTTAATTTGCAGTTAAAGCACATATGACAGTTATCGTAAGATAGAGATTACGGTTTATAAAGTTTTAAATATGGTACATCGTATGATACATCGATTCACTTCAGAAGTCCTTTATTAACCCTCCAGAGCTGTGTAGAGTACTTTTATGATGGATGGATACACTTTTTTGGGCTTCAAAATCTCGACCCTGCTTCACCGCCATTATAAAGCTTGGAAGAGCCAGGGCATTTTTTTATATAACTCTGATTGATTCGTCTGAAAGAAGAAAGTAATATACACCTAGGATGGCTTGAGGGTGAGTAAATAATTTGGTAATTTTCATTTGTGGGTTAAATATCCCTTTAAGTGACCTAACTGAGCAAGTATCACTAGACAGTACTGTGAATCCTCTGTCACAATAGTCTCGTCTCTGGTGATGAACAGTTCCAACTGTCACTGATGAACCACCATATTGAGTGACAAAACTTAATATGGTGGAAGTTAAATGGGAGTTCCCATTCTATTCATGCTGTCAGTTACATTGTATGATAACAGCTATAAAAGCCTCTTGGTCATTTAACACCATGGAGATATGATTGACAACACAACAGTAAAACAAGTATGGCAGGTAACCTGGATCATGTCATTTATGAGAAGAAAATCCATAACAGATGTAATGAAAAAGACTTCATCCTAAAACCTCTGGGTTTTTGTTTAATGATTACTACTGAAAGCTAACATTTGCGCATTTTATCCAGTCTGTGTAAATGCAAGTGAACGCTTGATAAGTGCACTGGGTGTTCTGGTTTCCTGAGCGATGAATTCAATACAGATTTAGACATCAAGCATAAGAACAGAGGCAGCAGGGATTGGATTATATTTGATCTTATGCTTGAGCTGACGGGAAGAGCTTCCCTTCGATGCATTCAGGCATTTTTATGTCATGGCATCACCAGACTGGGTGACTCCTCGCTGGCTGTCTCGAATGGATTAGCCCATAGCGCAATAACAACAGCGTGAACCGCGATAAAACCTGCCCTGCATTCCTGTCATCACAAATTCAAACAGATGAGAAAGAGCTAAATTACAATTCAGCCCTCTCTGTCATCTGTTGCCTCTCAGGGAAAATAAATCAGATATCCTGTGACCTGTAACTGCCTCAAACACTAAACCAAAGCACCAAGAGGGGTTCTGCTAAAAACACCAAAATCTGTTGCTAAGATGGTTTGACTAGTCAAAAATGGCCACACATGATGTATAAACAAATGTATTACAAAAAATGTGTCACTGGTATGGAAAGCTTCAGAAAAGATACTTAACATACTGTGAAAATGAAGCACAATTGTTTTAATTAAATTAAGTTACATTATGAGCAGATTATAATTAATAATGCTACGACTTTATTTTCTTAATATTACTAGAAAGTTTTTAAAGTCCCCCTGTAGTGAAAATCACATTTTTTATGTTGTTTATTTGTCTATGTGGTGTTTTTAATATGCTTTTAGACAAACCATGTGCCAATCTATTAATCAACACCATTGCTGAGTATTTTCTCCTTAAAAGTGTAGTTTCCCAAAGGCTGACCCAGAAATGCAGTTTGAAACAGACCTCGGTTTGCTACATCACAATCCAATAACCAATCACGTCAAGGGATCGATTCCTATCACTAGCATGCAAAATATACCAATACCAGCACAAAACCAAAAATAAATCAGAGCAAAAATCCCATGAAGCTGTGGTTTAATGTGAATTTAGAACTGCTAACTTGCATTATAACCCGTGGCAACAGTGTAAAAGTAGCCCGGAGTCAGACGCACCTCTCCCGCAGCCCGCTCTCTTTCTGAGGAACATAAACAAATGACTCAAAAATACAGTAAAAACAGTTTTATTGTGAAAAATTATTACAATCTAAAATAACTTTTTATATTTTGGTTTATTTGATTTTAGATTTTTAATTTATTTATCTGTAGCTATGAAAATAAAGAAAACGTTTTGCTCACAGATACTACAAATGTGTAAGTCTTTTAATTGTGTAGGAAAAATATCAACTTGGATGTAAACCAAAATTATAGTGAAAATAAACCATATTACCAAAACAGAGCCACACATATGTGTACATTTTTAATTGTTTAGGAAAAAAAATCCACTTGGATATAATCCAAAATTATAGTGAAAATAAACCATATTATCAAAACAGAGCCACACAAAACAACAAAAACAGTCCTGTGCACTTAAAATAGCTCTGTCCTGTCTTGGAAAGTCATCAAAGGCTATAAACTTCCTCATATTATGCAAGGCCATTAAAGTTCCTCTATTTCCTCTATAAAATATCGGAAGCTGATGTCTGCTGAAACACCTCGGTGGGAAAAACTTCTCAGATGATGTACCTCCCTCCTCAATAAAGCATTAAAATTCATTATGCCACGGCCGGCTAACATAATACCAGGATGCTGGCTTCCCTACCGTGGCAAGGTCATCCCCTCAAGGATGTTTTCACATAATCTGAGAGTAATTATAAAACAAACAGCAGAAGCCGTTGTTTCAGATAGCATCAGGGGCAGAAACACGCCACAGTGGCAGCAACACTTCAGAGAAATGGACGGTTCAAGCAGGAAACCTGAAAAAGCCTATCACAATAGTATCTACACATTCTCAGCCTTTACCAAAACAATAAACCCTGCATTTCTATTGTTGGCATGACTGCAGATGGGTGGTTAGACATTTATGATGTTTTGTTTTCATACACAGGTGGCAATCAAACCTACTTATTTTAATTGTTCCTATAAAAGAAGTCCCTCGTTATATTCTTAAAAAATACAGAAACCCTTGTATTTACTCGTAAATTTTTTTTAAAAAGCTTCTTTTCTTATTTCGTTTTCTATCAAGAAGAGTAAATACAATTTCACCTGGAATATGTCCAAAATATCGCCAGCAAGCCCTATAATTACCCATATCTGAACATTATCATCTAAAATCAACATATGGTTTTGCAATGTGGGTGTGAATGGCTTTTGTGTTTCTTCTGACATTTGCGATCTGAATAGCTGCACATAACAAGACTCACCTCTTTTTTGCATGAAACTGAAGAGATCATCGAGAAACTCCTTTCTTTTCTCATCATCGTCCAGTTCGTACAGCTGTGAAACGAACAGAGGGAGCTTTGTTAGTATTTTGAGGATTTTGCTTTAAGTGTGAAGCATATACAGCGCTCCCCTTCTATCCTTAAATATATCATATTAAGGCTGGATGCTGATACACTCACACCAGCGGAAAAACCACATGCATTTTAAGGGCACTTTTCCCTTTATTGGCATATCCATTATGTTTTCTCATCCTGGCCCTTCTCTCTGAATGGACATGCTCAAAAGAGCCTTTTAAAAGCCGTCTCGTGAAGGAGAAGACTGCAACCTGATGGAAATATGCTCCTCAACCTTCACTTTCAATAAGTCTTAGTCTACGTTAACAGGCGAGCAGGTCGATACAGGAAGACAGAGGGATGACCTTTGGAAGCAGCGGGGCACATGGAACAAGGCCCTGGAGATAATAACCGATCATTTAGGAGTGTATTAGCTGTCACCAATATTAAAGGACCAATGCAATCAATGTCTCAGGAAAAGGTACAGTGGGTTTAAAGTGTGAATAAGACACAACAGGCTTTTACCCATATGTGACATTTCCAAGGCGTACGGCGCAAATAAAACACGTTCTGTTCGAAATACGACGAGCGGAGAAAATCTCTAATCGGGAATGAAGCTCTGAAATGCAGTAAAGCCTGTCAAGTCACCTGCATAGATGATATCTGACAAAGTCTGTATGCTTCATACTTTCATGACGCATGGCAACAAAGCTGACATTTGAATCAAAGTTAATTTAAATGAATCTGCCCTTGCTAAGTGGTTGTCCATATGTGTGGGTTTAATGTGGTTGTGTGGATATCGATGCACAAGCTATGACATATGATCAACTACCTGGCAAGTTGTTGAGAGATATAATGTAAACCCTGAAGAACAAGGCACAGAATGTGTAACACTTCTCTTAATGTATGCAGATTTAAATACAGACATTGCATAAGTCAGACAACAAAACATTCGGGAGTGATAAATCGGGACTTCTGTTATATCAAATTAAATTGGATCAAATACTTGAAAATAATAAAAACGGATTAGATTTTTTTTTTCAAATGTAAAGAAACATATAAAACTGCATCTCTCGTTTTTTCTCATCTTAAATACACTGATCACTATATTATCTGTGCAACACTCTGCCCACTTCAGTTGAAGTGCCAGCAGCCATAACAGTAAATTAGCGATTCATTAAGATTCATTAAGAGGTGATGTAATTGTGACACTGTCAGTTGCAGAGGTCATCACTAAGCTAGGGTGACCAGTAAAGGGGTAATTAAGTCAAAAGTGTAATGACGTCTACAACATTGCATTAAATATTAACAGATGGAAAATACATTAGAGCTCTGCTTCACCTCTGAGTGGTCCATTATGCTCATATTAGTTCTATTCCCAGCATTATTACTCCAGGAATGCAGAGCACTGATGCATGTAGTCTCACAAGACTCCCATGAATCTAGATCTTAGTGTGACTGGAATAATTCAGAATTTGAAATCACTGATTATATTGCATAATCTATTTTGTTAAATTACATACAGTCATGTCCAAAAGTCTGTGACTACACTGATAAGCTGCGATTCAAAATCGAATTAATATCTGGAAAAAAAAACAACAACAACAACACCAGAAAGATTAAAAATGTAGAAAAAATGTAAAGAAATTTTTAAAATGTTATGAATAAGAAGATAAGGATTACGATAAGAAATATAAGACTCTCAAGTATTTCTTGGTCACAAGTCAAATAACAGATGTTTTCAAATCATTCCTTACAGCTGGAGAATATGATAAAAAAAAAATGCTGAGTTAAATACAACACAGCAACTGGGTTGTTTTGACCCAGCCTTCTGGGTAGTTTTATTTAACTCAAAATCACTATATAGCTGGCTTAAAATGAACCCAAAATAGGTTTTAAATAAAAAATCAGACACATAATTACTAGAGGCATCAGCAATAATCAAAAGGTGAACATTTATTAATAAGCAATAAAAGGTTTTTTATTATTTAATTATTTATCCAACGTATAATATTCATTTATTATTAATGAATAATTGCTAATTTCCAACCTATTTTGGGTTCATGTTACACAAGAAATATAGTAATTTGTAAGCAATAGCTGAGTTAAATAAAACTACCCAGAAGGTGGGGTTAAACATTTAACCCAACCACCGGGTCAAAACAATCGCTGGGTTTGTCTATATTTCACACAGCACCGGGTTGTTTTTTCTTTTAAATATTTTCTTTTAAGCTTTTTTGACATACAGAACAAAATATTTAAACAATATAATACAATACAAAAAAAAAAAAAACAAAGGAAAAAAACAAAAAAAAAAACAAGAGGTGGAATGGGCTAACATGGATTGTTGAAATACAGCAGGAAGAGTTTTACATAAAAGTAGATTACACAGGCTTGAGGAAATCAAGGAAGGGTTGCCATACAGCTTGGAATCGACAATGTAGTTTGGGCTCCAATAAACGTATACCTTCCAATCGTATAACATGGAACAACTCAAGATAACCAGGTTTTGAAAAAAGGGGCATGTGAAGATTTCCAGTTTAAGAGTATTATCTTTTTAGCAAGAACCATACCCAACAACAGTGATTGCTGTTGATAGCTTGAAAAAGTGGTCAGTACCTCAGAAGTCCCCAAAATGGCTAAAATGGGATCAGGCTTCACAACCTTTTGAAAAACCTTTGGAAAAAAAAAGTAAAAAATGCTACTCCAAAAATCAAACAGGTTAGGACAAAACCAGAACAGATGCGATAGGGAGCCCTCTGTCACTTTACATCTATCACATATTGGAGAAATAGTGTTGTATATTTTATTTAGTCTAACTCTGGAATAATACAATCTATGCACTGTTTTAAACTGGATCAGCCTGTGTCTGGCATTTATTGAACAATATTGGATCTTACTAAGGCAATCATTCCATGTTTCATCAGACAAGTCTACACCAAAATCCTTGGCCCAAGCTTCTTTTAAGTGGTTTGTGTTTACAGGCATCAGGAAGACATTAACAAATCGTGAGATCAAATGTGTAGTAGGTTGGATTTGACATAATACATCCATCAAATGTATTAGTCTTTGGCTTGCTAACAAATTGTGGCATGACTTCTTTAACATAATGCCTTATTTGTAAATACCGAAAGAAATCAGACCTAGGAAGATTAAATATAGTCTGTAATTGACTAAAGGATGCAAGCATGTCATCTACATAGAGGTCCCCAATGGACTTTAAACCTTTGTTTCTCCATGTAGCAAACCCCAAATCGAGTTCTAAATGGCTTAAACAAATGATTGTAAGCAATTGGAGTATGAACAGAGACGTCAGGCAAAGTACAATATCTTCTTATTTGGTTTAATATTCGTATTGAATTTTTTATCATAAAATTATTCCCAGTCGATTTTGATGAAGGAGACACCTTTGAGAAAAGTAGAACTGGAAGACAAGATTTAGTTAGGGATATTGTCTCTATCTTAAGCCATAGTGGATCAGCTATAGAGGAAATTTCACTAAGAAAACCCTTCTGCCAGTAGGATAGAGCTCTAGCATTTGCTGCCCAATAGTAGAGTTTAAATACTGGTAGCCCAAAGCCTCATATCTGCGTGGGTTTTTGTAAAGCACTGGGCTGTTTTTAACCCAGCATTTTTAGTTTTAAACAAACATGTGGAGTTTATGTTGCTCGAGTGCTAAAGGACAAAGGGAGACAATCCAAATAATTCATTTTACATAATGACATTTATTGTTTTAATGATATAATGTGCAATTCAAATTGTGTATTAAATTAGAAAAATGCTAAATATACGCATTTCGTCCCCTTGGAATCTGACATTTTTGTCAAAATTTAGTTATTCACATATTCTTATTGTGAAGTTATTAATAAGTTATCTGTGACAACTTATTTACATTATGTGATAGATTTTTTTAATGGTGTGTACATTTTTGGACTTTTTATTTAAAAAACAAAAAGGTTCTATCTACACAGTCGAATGGAATGCAAAAACTTTGAAGCTCAATATCTCAAAACTACTCGGAATGCAGATAGAACCTTGTAATTCCAAGGGGACGATTTCACTGGTCTCAGACTTTTAAACTGCACTGTATATAATAACTAATTAGTAATTCAATTTAAGCTGTTTTTCTTAACTAATAATAATAATAATAATAAATGTAAAACTGACTGTTTATTAATTTAAACCTCATTACATGCACAGAAGTCACATATCTATGTCACTTGTAAGCCTGTCTGGTCTTACTGATTTACTCCGTAAGCTCAGTAGCTGAGCACATGTGTGTGATCATTATGAAGCGTCTCAATGATTCTTCGTAGTGTCAGATAACACAAGCTGCTTACAAGGTCAAACCCCCAAGGCTTCTGCGACACTATGTGATCACACCCTGACTCAACCTTCAGCAACTACAGGTTCAACATGTATGGGCAAAAGTATGTATGAGTGGACGATGATAAATATGTTTGAGTAATTTATAAATTACTTAACAATTTTTTTGTGAAAAAATTTCTTCATACTCTCACATTATTTTTCAGAACACATCGAAAGCAGAATACAAAGTAAAACCTTTGTACGCTTTTAATCTAGATCTCAATGCATCCCTGTATTGCTCAAAGAAGTATCTCGCCGGGATTTCAGTAGAGGGAGCTCTTCACAATACAATAAATTATCACACACGACTGAAACGTTTCACTTCTATCACGACATTTTTACCAGCTCTTTCAAAACAAAACCAGACCAACAAATCAAGGACATTGCCTCTCAGACTGGGAGTAGAAAAAAAAACATACAAACAGTGTCCAAGAGAGACATGCTATAGACATTGTTTCACAATCCTAACATCAGGTAGGTGGGTCAGTGACAGGGTGACATTCTTTGTTACTGAAAACACACACACACACACACACACACACACACCGTTCGTTTTGTCAAAAGCAATGAAGAGGGAGCTGGGCTATGACTTTGAACCCACTTTAAGTGGAGCTTCAGGCAGTCTAGAGCTGC